CGGACAAGTTTAGTGTATAAATCAGAACCAGGACAATTGTTAAAAATTGAACAGATTCTGGCCGGACAAGTTTAGTGTATAAATCAGAACCAGGACAATTGTTAAAAATTGAACAGATTCTGGCCGGACAAGTTTAGTGTATAAATCAGAACCAGGACAATTGCTAAAATTGAACAGATTCTGGCCGGACACATTGAAAAGGTAAAAGTAAAACTCTAAAGTTTTGTTTTGATCAACAAAAGAATCAATTTTCTAAAAATTATTAAATATGGAACTTTTGATTTTAATAAAACTGAATAGGGAACTAACTATGCAATCTATTACAAAGAAATCAGTTAGATATATTATGATCAGGCAAAAATATTTTTGGCATTCTTTTGAAATTTAGATTTCTAAATGTGTGACTAAAATCTTATCATGCGGTATAAACTGAGAAAATTATGATAGACCAATTATTTTGATTTTTTAGAAATATTTAAAGATCTTTAAAATCGTGTACCCTGCAGCAGAAGGGAGGCTGAAGCTAATTTTTCTATGGATTCGTGCCTGATAGAAGTTATTGTTATGGCTGAACTGCTTTAACAGATGGAAGGAATTGGGGCTCTGGAAATATCATAATTCTGATTTTTTTTCATTTCCCTCTAATAAAGCTTAATCTTTAACAGGGCGTAATGTTACTTCAACAAGTGCATAAATTATAAATAATAATATTATTTAATCCTTTTTGAGAGAAACGATACTCTTTATGTTTTAAGTTTTTAGAAAAATATCCTTGATTTTCTTGCTTGTTTATTGCTGTAGAAATCCTCAAGTCCCTCTCTAGAGAAGCTTTGGCCTTTATTGTATTACTTAATAATTTTACAAGTTTGAACCGGTGTGAACCGTCCAACTACGAAAAGGGATTCCAGGGCCCAATTATTTAATGGGTTCCTGAGCACACGCTAGAAATTGGAAACCCGCAATATGGAGATTATGAAGTTTACGAGTTTAGACCTGGTTCAGACCATCCATAAACTTGAAATGGCAGGATGTTTCTCTAGTTTTACTAAACAGAACAGATTATTAGTATGAATGTCTATTACAGGGTTAACCATAAAGGATTATAGTTATGACGACCTGGAACTCTTAATGCCTAAAATATAGTTAATCAATGATATATTAAATGATTTGGTAAAAAAAGTTTTCAAATGCAGCGAACCAAAAAGGAAATATTTTAGACGAAATTATCTGGAGTCTCATCCTTTGTGGGTAACCCTGTATATTGGCAATATTGCTTTGCTAGAACACACCGGCAGGGGGGGGGGGGTAACACAAATGTGCAGACTATTAACGTGTATTGTTAATTGCTTGTACTTGACATATAAACATTGTAAAAAGAACGAAAAAAGAGTGATTTACTTCAAACAATAAGAATGGATATTAGATATATGCAAAACCTACAGAACAGAGATTATCTAAGCCCGATAAAAAAAAATAAAAGCCCCACGCTAGGTTTATAAATTAGTAAATACAAATTGATGATGGATTACAAATTTATCAAAAATAAACAGGGGCGGATACAGGGGGGTGGCGGGGGGACATTCGCCACCCCCTGACAGAATTTCGAGGCAAAAAATGTTCCCAATTTATAAATCGAATGTGTTTTTCAATTTCAAGCTTTTTTTATTTAATGGAAATCTTGACTCAAAAATCGTTCTCTAGGAATATACCAAAAACTAAGTTTTATAAAATTTTCAAGAAGTATAATGCCAAAAGCTAAGTAATTCAAAGATAACATTTGAAACCACCATTTTCAAAGATTGCTTCAAAATCAGGAAAGTCGCGCAACCTCTGAAATAATAATATTTTACTGTGGTTGTGTAGCTTTAACATTTCTCTATTCAGTAGCGTAAACACGGGGGTGGGGGCAATAGTCCTCTTGACCCCACCTCCTGGCTAAAATCCTGGGTACGCACCTGTTTCTCTTTAATAAAATATAGATTAAGCTTAAAATGTTATTCATAACTATACAAACATAAAATAAAAATATGGTATACATATTTCTTTATATACAAAAAAATGTAATCATATGTATCTTCTTGTGTATAATATTGTTTATGATTGAAGTCAATGACAAAGTATGTCTAATAAAAACAGTGCTTAAAAATAAGATCCGCAACATTTTGGTTTCCTGGATCCATGGGACGAAGCATCAACCAGAATCAAAATTTTTGGTCTGATAACACATATCATAATTATTAACTTATAGAAAGCAGGTTGGCAAAAATTTCCAAATTTCTGAATGGATCCATTTTTTTCAGAGCGTTCATTCTGCTGTGCATACGTACAATGGCTCCTCAATTTTTCACGGAGTAAAAGATCTGAGAAGAACATGGGATAGAAATACAATTTTGAATTAAAACATGATCAAAAATTCATCTGAATTTTACAATATTTTACTAAGAATCCGGCCTGTGGAAATATTTTGATATATGAATTAAGAAATACATATATTCCACTTTTTTAAAATTCATAATTTCTAATTTATTTTATCTCAGACCTCATATTTTCAGTAGGTACTTGATGACACTGTGACTGACATTTAGCAATTGTTTAAAAAACCCAGCACTAAGAAATTTGTCAAAACTATAATTTTAAACCCCTGGCTATTCTCTGTTATAATGAGAGGGGCAGCACCGATTTACAACGATACCCTGAAACCTTATGACTGGTCAAGGATGAAAGACTTTTCCTTTTATTTATTTTCAGAAACAGTTTAATATTTAAGGAAACTTTCTAAAATATAAATATTAACATATTCCATTTTTTAAAACTGTACATTGATCATGTATTCTTGATTTTCTAGGAATAATTGTGACGTCACCCGCGTTGAGTTCACACAGTACGTTAGCGTACACTTCATATTTA